AGCAGGTAATGTCCAGAGGGAAGAAGGCCAGGGGTGTGTAATTCCATCAGGATCTGACCTCCTCTAACCTCATACGGGGGAGGGGAGAATCACCATCAACATCAGCCAAGGCTGATCCCTATGAAGTGGAGGTCACACATATCTCCTCTCTCTAAACTTTTTACCAGTTCTGACACCAGCTGTCTCTCCCATGACACTCTCTACTCCTCTCCTGGGTTTGGTAAATTCGTTGCAAAGGCCATATAGAACTCACAGGCCATACTCACAATTATGGGTTTATTAGGGAACTTGTTGTTGTTGTTAGGGGTCATCAAGTTGGATCCAACTCACAGCAACCCTATGAACAAGGAACAAAATACTGCCCAGTCCTGCACCCACCTGAAAATCATCACTATGCTTCAGCCCACTGCTGCATAGCCACTACGTCAACCCATCTTGTCGAGGGTCTTCCTCTTTTTTGCTGACTCTCTACTTTACCAAGTACGATGTCCTTCTCCAGGGACTAGACCCTCCTGAGAACATGACCGAAGCATGAAAGACAAGTCTGGCCATTCTACTTCTAAGAAGCACCCAGCTGTACTTCATCCAAGACAGATTTGTTCATTCTTCTAGCGGTCCATGTTGTTGTTGGTATGTGCCATCGAGTCGGCCCCAACTCACAGCGACCCCTCCTTGGGTTTCCAAGGCGGTATCTCTACGGAAGTAGATTGCCCCACCTTCCTTCCAAGGAGTGGCTGGTGGGTTTGAACCGCCAGCCTTCTGGTTAGCAGTCAAATGCCTTAGGCACTATGCCACCAGAGCTCCTAAAATATCTAAAGATGGTTTATAAACCCTACAATTTCTCTTTGAACACACATCCTCATCTCCAGTCCATGGTATATTCAAAATTCTTCACCAACACCATAATTCAAATGCATCAATTCTCCCACAGTCTTAGTGATTCATTGACCAGCTATCATATGCATATGAGGCAACTGAAAACACCACAGCTTGGGTTAAGTAAACCTTACTTAGTCTTCAAAGTGATACCTTTACTCTTCAATACTTTAAAGAGGTTTCTGGCAGACTGGCTCAATGCAATACACTCTGATTTCCTGACTGCTGCTCCCATGGGCACCGATTAGGGATCCAAGTAAAATGAAGTATTTGACATCTTCACTCTTTTCTCCAGTTGTCATGATGTTGCTTACTGGTTCAGTTCTGAGGGGTTTTGTTTTCTTTACCTTGAGAAGCAATCCATCCTAAAGGCTATAGTCTTTGATCTTTATCAGTAAATGCTTCAAATCTTCACTTTCAGCAAGCAAGGTTGCATCATCTGCGTATCACAGGTTGTTAATGAATCCAGACGTCGTGTTCCTATTCATTATAGTTCAGCTTCTTGGATTATTTGCTCAGCATAGCCACTCCTCGGAAGGAAGGTTGGGCGGTCTACTTCCATAGTGATACCGCCTTAGAAACCCAAGTCGGGTCTGACTCGATGGCACGTAACAACAACAACAGCAAACATTGACTATGGAGAAGGAATAAACCTTGACACACACCTTTCTTGATTTTAAACCATGTTGTCTCCCGTTGTTCTGTTCCAGTGATTGCCTCTTGGTCTGTATACAGGTTTCTCATGAGGACAATTAAATGTTCTGGAATTCCCCTTCCTCACAATGTCATCCATAATTCGTTATGATCCATACAGTTGAATGCCTTTGCATAGTCAGTAAAACATAGGTAGACATATTTCTGGTAGCCTCTGCTTTCAGCCAAGACCCATTTGGTATCAAGAGAGGAAGGATATGCCTCGTTCCATGTTCTCTTTTGAATCTAGCTTGCATTTCTGGCAGTTCCCTGTTGATATCACGCTGCAATCATTTTTTAATTATTTTCAGCAAAATTTTGCTTGTGTGAGATATGAATGACCTTGTTCGATAATTTCCCCATTCTGTTGGCTCGATCACTTGTCAGTGGAATGGGCACAAATGTGGATCTCTTCCAGTCAGTTGGTCAGGTAACTGTCTTCCAAAATTTCTTGGCATAAACAAGTAAGCACTTCCAGCATTACATCCATTAGGGAAGTAACAGGTTACAATTCAGGATCAGGAGTGACTAAGGAGACCGTTCTTTGGTCAGGACAGCTCCTTGGCTGTGCCCACAAACAGCCCTCTCCCTCAGCTCCTAGGCTGGCCTCTCGTCCACTTGGGCAAGTGTTAACAAAGCTGTTTAGCTCCGTAGTAAGTACCCAGAGACACCCAGCTCTGCCAGGAAGCCCCCTGCCCGAAGATACTCAGCTCTCTCGTTCCATGGGTCAACAAGCCTACTGTAAGCAACTGGCTCCATGGGCTAGGAAGCCCAGCGCATCACCTCATGCTAGTCTCCTGGTTCTGCTGGTGCCGTTTCTCTGCCACCGGCTCGCGCCATCTCACGCCATCTCTGGTGTTACAGCTCTCACTCCCTGTCTCCTGGATCTAGGAAGTTCTCAGTGCAGGGACCTCAGGTCCAAAGGATGCACTGCCCTCCCGGTTCATCTTCTTGGTGGTAGAGAGGTTTCCCCTGTGCTCTGGGACCAGCTCTCTTTTAAGCCTAGTGCATGATGAAACTAACCAATCCCCTCATTAGAGTTCGATACACCTTATTTGCATGGTCCCACCTCCACAAATGTGCCATGCACCTTATCAGTATTATTAGCAAAGTGTCTCATCTCCTTGGTCCCACTCAATCATTTGGCGAGTGTTCCAAGATCATGGCTAGAAAGCTCATATAAAAGCAATACATCCCATCACAGTAATACAATAAAGAGATGGGTATTAGAACAAATGTGAGTTCATGTGTCCTAGACAAAAGGTGGTGACCACTACATAGTTCCAGGTAAGGAAGCAGGCCTCATGTTGCCAGGCCTTCAGGTTTTTCCAGATAAACTGGAGAGCTGGATTATGGGAAATTTTGCTGTTTTTAAATGACAGCTGACAACAACAACAACAACAACAACAAAAACCTGTGAGAGCCTAATAATTAAAAACTTTTGGCATTTGTTTCTAGGAAGCTCAGGGTGCAATTTACAACCAACCTCCAGCAAGAGGAGACCAGCTGGGAGTGCTGGACTGGGCAACACAGAATGGAGCACTGTGTGTGTCCTGGCAAGCTACCTGCCTCCCAGCTCCGTCCCAGTTTTCTGGGACTCAGTCCCCTCACTGCTTGTCAGACTGGCCTGCACTAAGTAGAGAGGCATGACCCCCACTCATCAGAGTCAGCTCCCACTCACGGCAGCCCCATGTGTGTTGCAGTAGAATGTGCTCTGTAAGGTTTAGGCACCTCTAAATGGGAGCTCTGGTAGCATAGTGGCTAAGACTCTTGCCTGCTAACCAGACGGCTGGCGGTTCAAACCCACCAGCCACTCCTCAGAAGGAAGGTTGGGCAATCCTACTTCCGTAGTGATACTGCCTCGGAAACCCAAGAAGAGGTCACTATGAGTCGGGTTTGACTCGACGACGGCACATAACAACAACAACAAGTGGACTCAAGGGAGCTCTGGTGGCGTAGTGCCTAAGGCACTTGACTGCTAACCAGAAGGCTAGCCGTTCAAACCCACCAGCCACTCCTCGGAAGGAAGGTTGGGCAATCTACTTCCATAGTGATACCGCCTCGGAAACCTAAGGAGGGGTCACTATGAGTCGGGTCCGACTCAACGGCACATAACAACAACAAAAGTAGACTCAACCCCTAACCCTTTTCTTCTAAAAATTTTATTGTGACTTGGGTGAAGGTTTACCGAGCCAATTCATTTTCCATACAGCAGTTCATATACATTTTGTTTCATGACATTGACAGCAATTCCCCACAAGGTAACAGCTCTCTTCCTCCCGGTAGTAACCTTTCCCCGGGTCCTTCTTTCCTGTGCATTCCTGCCCGCCAACCCCAACTGTCTTCCTACCTAAATACTGTCCTTCTGTTCTCCCATGACTGACATTGCTCCAAGGAGTGTTATCTACCTGACATAAATGTTCACCCCATATACCTGTCTACTGGTTAGCCGGAAGCCACAGGAGTGAGTTCAGTTCCAGACTTGAAGGGTAACTAGGGGCCATAGTCTCAGGGGTCTTACCAGCCTCTATCAGACCAGCAAACCTGGTTTTTTGTTTTTTGGGTTTTTTAAATAATTTTTAGTTTTATTCCACACTGTTCTCCCAGTGTATCCAGGATCTCACGCACTCATCCCTTTCCAAGAGGCTGACAGTGGTAGCCGGACACCATCCAGTTCTCCTGGTCTCGTGGTCACATAGGCTGAAGTTCACCTGGGCAACCCCCAACCTCTCAGGAAACCGTTTGCACCATCCGGGGACTCCAGGTGTGTATCAGCTAGTGAATTAAATTACAAAAGCATTTCTCCAATTTTCTCCTTTCTAACTATTTCTGTAAGCCACTCCCTATTCTCTCTATAACAAAGTATAAAGAAACACTTAAGGCTTTTTTCTAATCATTTCAAGAGTGAGAAAACTTTTTTGGGGGTATGAATTGACTGGAAAATAAAAAGTTTATTTGGAAAAAAAGAGAAAGAAAAAGAGTGAAGGAGGAAAAGAGAAAGAGTGGAGGAAAAGCGAGGCTTTCAGTGAACCAGCCCACCGGTGGGCTCGCGGGGGTGAGCAGGGACAGCCACAGGTTACAGGTTTAGAGCCGTGGGCAGAGCGAGCAGGAAAACAGCGAGGGAGCCAGGGGTCCGCGCACCACCGGCGCTGCAGGGAAAACCAGACGCGGAGTTACATCCCACGCTTTAGAGGGCACCCGCCCTACACCCGTCCCGCTTGCTTTTCGCCAGCACCTGTCCGCAGGCCCGCCGCAGCCTCGCCGGCCGCCCAGCCTTGTCTCGCTGTCCATCAAGCGCCCGGGGAAAATGCCTGCCTGGTGAGCTGGCCAGGCTGCGAGCCGCGGCGTGGGGGGCAGCGGCCGGAGGGCATCCGGTGCCCGGTTCTCCCCTCCCCGCCGTCGACTTTTCCCTACGGATCCCGACCCCTTACCTGCCGCGACCCAGCGGGCCAGGAGCGCCCCGAGGCACAGGAGGATCCGCGGCTCTGGCGCCCGGCCGCCTGCGGCCATGTCGCCCCTGATCCCGACCCGGAGCAGCACCAGCTCCCTGGGGGCTGCGTGTGCGCCCCCCAGGCTCCTCCCGGCTCCGCGGAGCGGCAGCGCTGCCCCACTCGATCCCAGGCGGGATGCTTTAGGGGGCGCTCCACGTCCCCGTGCGGGGAGCCTCGGCTGCCGGCTGCGCTGGGCTGCCCCCCGGCGAGGACTCTGTCTCCCCAGCGCCCCGGCCGGGGCTGCCCGCTCCCGCTCGCGGAAAACAACAGGCGCGGGGCTGCGTCCCGCCTCCCATCCAGGAGGGAGCCGCACTTCCTCTCCCTCGGCTGGAGAGGAGGGCTTTATGCAAAGGACGCGCGCCCGGGCGCGCCGAGCCCGGCCCGGGGCGGGGAGGAGCGCCGACGCTGGGCCCTCCCCGAGCCCAGTCGGCTGCCTTCGGGCGCACGCTTCCAGCTCCGCCCGGGACGGCAGTCCCCGAGCGGGAAGGACGGCCGCACCGAGCTCTGCAGCTGCCGCAAGACTGCACCCCGCTCAGCGGCCGGCGCTCGGGCTGCAGAGCCCGGCGCAGCGAGGGGAGGAGCATCCGGAGCCCGAGGGGCCGGCTGCCAAGATGCAGGATTTCGGTCCCCTCTCGGTCCCAGCTCAGCTGTTGCAGGCATTCTCGTTTGTTTCCCTAGGAGCAGGGCAGCCATCGCTGCCCTTTCTACCCTTTGCCGAGCGAAAGCACGAGAGCAGGAGAAAGCTGATCCCTTGGACCTTCCGGCCAAACGCAGCCACAAGACTCCTGTTGTCTTGTTTACTGGCTGAGACCACACAGTAAGAACCATGGCAAGAGGTCGGCGGCCTTGTTCCTCGGGTTTGGTGGTGGTGGTGCTGTTTTCCCGCCCCCACCCATACTCCCAGAAAGCTACGATCCCGGGCTGCTGTTGTTGTTATGGGTCGTCGAGTCGGACCCGACTCCTAGCGACCCTTCCTTGGGTTTCCAAGGCAGCATCACTACGGAAGTACATTGCCCAACCTTCCTTCTGAAGGATCCCGGGCTAGAATCCTTCTATTTCCTGCCACGCCCCTATGGGAGGAACCCTCGACTCTATCCTGCAAGAGCCCACACTTCAAACAGCCCTGTGAGAAACTTCATTTTTGAAAAATGCAATTAATCCAGTAAAATATTAGTTGTATACGCTAGGAGGTGTGGACAGGCATTCACTGCAGCATTCTTTCAACTTTTCTGTATGTTTGAAAATTTTCATCGTCAAATATTGGGAAAAAAATAAAAATGGCTGTTAAGAAAATTATTCTTTCTCTTACCCCGATTCAAATATTTGTTTCCCCAACGCGTGATACCGATTTTGAAAAGGTGTTTCTTCTGCTGAGCACAGCGGGGAAGCCTCCGCAGTTCTTCACTTCGCTCTTGGCCTTTGCTGTTTATGCTCAGTTTTTTAACACTCCAGCCAGCTCTTGATAGAATTTCCTCTCTCTCTCCTTTAGTTCTTGTTTTTCATCTTTTAGAAACTTTGGTAGCTTAGTGCCTAAGGCATTTGACTGCTAACCAGAAGGCTGATGGTTCAAACCCACCAACCACTCAGAAGGAAGGTTGGGCAGTCTACTTCCATAGTGATGTTGTTGCTGTTGTTATGTGCCATTGAGTCGGACACGACTCATAGCGACCCCTCCTCGGGTTTCTGTGGCAGTATCACTATGGAAGTAGATTGCCCCATCTTTCTTCTGAGGAGTGGCTGGTGGGTTTGAACCACCAGCCTTCTGGTTAGCAGTCAAGTGCTTTAGGCACTACGCTACCAGAGCTCCTAGAAAGACTTGGCCCAGCTATCTGGTGGGCTCAAACCGACAGCATTGTGTGTGGCAGGTGACTGCCTTAGGTCTGAGGCCAATCCATAGTGATAGTGCCTCAGAAACCCAAGGAGGGGTCACTATGAGTTGGTTCCAGCTCCACGGCAGTCTCATCTTTTACCTTGTGACCTAAGGTAAATGCTATGGTAGTCAGACCTTGTCTGTCCATCCGATTCCCCACCGCATCCCCAGTACTGGCACCTAGTTGCCGCTCAATACATATTTGTTGAATATGAATGAAAGTTACTTGGTATTGCTACTACAGTCCCTCAGCTTTTATGGTAAACACCTACATGTTCACTGGATGTAAAGAGTGTAAATAAAATCAGTGCTTGGCAAGCTTTTGGCTGAGGGTATGGGTCTGGAATTTTCTGTGACCCTCGTGGTACCTGTTGCCATCCAGTTCACTCTGACCCATGGCAACCCCAGGGACCACAGAAGGAAATGCAGCCCGATCCGCCACCTCGTTCACAGTCGCCGTTTTGCTTAAGTCCATGGTTGAGACCCCTGTGTATTTAAGGGGCTCCTCTTCCGGCGCTCTATTGGACAATATTCTGTTTTGATCCGTAGGGTGTTCATTGGCTAATCTTTGGAAGTAGGCTGGCAGGCCTTTCTTCCTCTCTCTTTTAGTCTGGAAGCTCCACTGAAACTTGTGCACCACGGCTGACCCTGCTGGTGTGGAAATCCTGGGGGCGTTGCTTCCAGCATGACCGCATCAAGCAAGCATCACAGTCCGACAAAAGGACAGGCAGGTGGTGGTGCCTAGCACAGGGCATCGCGCGGGGCCGGTCCTCCTGACATGGGTGCTAAGTCGGTGTCCAGCTGTGACAGGTTCTATCCTAGAAGTCTTAGCCTTGTCCATGACGTTCTATAGCACTGATGATGATATGACTACACATTTGCATGGCGGGGGCCTTTTTCCAAAGCAGTTTTAGAAAGTTAATCTCACTGGGCCTTCCCTGCAACCCTTGGTCTCAAGGAACCATTGCATTACACTTTATAAGTGAGGATCCTGCAGATTAGGGAGGTTATGCTTGCGGTCACACGACTGGTTGGTGGTAAGACCAGGACTGGAACAGTTGCCTGCCTGATTCTGAGTCCACCTAAATGAAGTTCCAATTTTGTCATATATACAAAGACTGCCAGAGCCAAGGGGAAGTGGGTCTGACTGCTTTGGGGTCAGCGGGCCAGCAGACAGAGCAGTCTAGGCCTAGGCTCAGAGCATCCCCACCGCACTGTGGGCAGAGCTGGCACAGGAAACACCCACATTCTTTGGCTCCAGTATAGATTCAAGGACCAGTGCTGAGACAGGAGATGTGTTAGGCCACACCCTGGCCTGCCATCTGGTCCCACTTCAGGCCACTCTAGGCAGTAGAAGGTGAGCTGCCTCAAACATGAGCAGAGTGTTGATGTTCACCGTGTGGTCCCCATCAAGGCCTTTCAGAGCCCTAGTTTTCTCTACCAGCAAAACAGAGCTAATACCCACTTCATGGGATTATTGTAAGGAGCCCTGGTGGTACAGAGGTTAAAGTGGCCAGCTGCTAACCCAAAGGTCCATGTGAAAAGAAAGGGGAGTTGAAGGGGCTCAATGAAAGACAACGGCCTTCACAGACCTAAGACATCACTTTGGGGACTATTTGAAATGACACCATGTCAGGACTCCAAAAATCCCACAATCATGTCCTGAACATGGGGCATAGGCCCTTCTCAGCTCAGGTAGCTACAGGTACCTGTTTCTGCTTTATCTTATTTCCACCTCCCACTTATTGAAAAATGAGCTGTGAAGGTGCTGTGGTTAAAAAAACAACCCACTGCCATGGAGTCGATTCCGACTCATAGCGACCCCCACTGGGTTTCTGAGGCGGTCAATCTTTACGGAAGTAGATTGCCCAGTCTTCTTTCTGCAGAGTGGCCAGTGGGTTTGAACCACCAGCCTTCTGGTTAGCAGTCAAATGCCTTAGGCATTAATGCCACCAGAGCTCCTCACTGTGGTTAAAAGCACTGGGTTATTAACCAGAAGGTCGATGGTTCAAACCCACCAGCCGTTCAGTAGGCGAAAGACAAGGCAGTCTGCTTCTGTAAAGATTTACAGCCTTGGAAACCCTATGGGGCGGTTCTACTGTGTCCTGTAGGGTTGCTGTGAGTTGGAATCCACTGGACGATGGTGGGTTTGGCTCGGCTCGTGTGCTGAGAACTTACTCGGGCTCTGGGCTAACTGCTTTATGTCCACTTGCTCCTCAGTCCCCATCACAGCCTGAGTGGTAGGTATTACCATTCCCATTGTACAGACGGCTCAGAGAGGCTAAGTTACAGAGCAAGGAGAGGGTAGAGCCACCATGTGAACCCAGGTCTGGGGTGCGACATTTTGATTCGTCTTGGAGGGAGGACCAGACCCCAGGGCTCCTGCCTGGATTCACGGCCAGCCCTTCCACAGCCCAGGTCTCTGAAGCCTTCAAGTAACCTATCTTTCTGCCTGTTATTTCTGCCCCACTACTCCTCTTGTCAGCGTCTCCTCCCAGAGGTAATTCTGAAAGGTTTCTTAGCAACAACCTGCTTTGTGGCCCAACCTAAAGATTATCCTCCTGGGGCTTTCAGGAAGGGAGGGCCAGTGGGAACAGCTGGGGTTGCAGCTTGGTCCCTTAGATCTAGCTCAGACACCCCACATCAAGAGGTAAGAGGCAGATGACCGAAACCTCCTGGTGCCCCCTTGGATGGACCTGGGATCCACAGGTAGGCGCGTCAAGGAGAAGGAACACAACCGACCTGGCTGGTTCTTTGGAGAGGAGAGCACTACAGCTTTCAATACCCCACCTCATCCTACTGGCCCTTTGCTCTCTGCGCAGAAGAAAGGACTGAAGTGCAGATGCCAGGACCAGAGAGCAAGAAAGCTCCCGAATCAGGCAAGGGTCCAAGCAGAAGTTGGCAAGATGAGATGGAAAAATGGAACATGGACAGTTGTCAAATGTGTCTACTATTTTTGACCAGAGTTCAGTACTCCTCTTCACCAGTGACCGGGAAGGTGTAGGTCGGTGTCTCTAAGTGGCAGAGAATCAAGGGACTTGAGAGACAGATCCACCCTGAAAAGGCAGAATGCTGTTTGTGGAGGGATCAGGAAAATGGCCACCCAGTTCCTTGAGAAATGGGAGACCAGGGACTGGAGTGAGGTGGCT